GTGTACAGGAAGCCAATATTTTCAGATCAGATATCAAATTATAAAAATTACAACTCAATAGTTCACAAGATGGATTGTGTTTAGTTATTTAGAAAATTCAAAAGCTCACTGTAACATACTCACTATACAGAACGTTGAAAAATCATGATTTGTGTTTCGTCTTATTTAAAACTTATCAGCTACGTGTGCCTAGACTCTGGAATTTAAACCATATACGTTTATTTCCAAACATCAATGCATTATTCATTTAACTACTGGATCTCAGAATGAATATAAACTGTGGGAAGCAGGTGAATCTATCTAGTGAATCCGAAATCAAATGAAACTTACATCCTTTTAAATAGTTATAACTTAATAGTTACATTCAGGAAATCCTCACAGAATGCACATATATCAAAACATATCATTGATCAATTGTAGTCCTAGACAACAATAGGAAATTACAACTAGTACAAATCAATATTTTCTATATATATTTAATATGTACTTTATCACTATACAAAATGTGATTATTTTTGGAATATATAATTTTCAAATACAATTTCCTTTATTCAATAAATAATTTATTTGATTATCATTAAATATACCACCTACCAACCTACCTACCCATCAACATGGATGTACACATTCAAAGCATATGGAGATTCGAGATATATATATACTACTGACAATCTCTTTTTTTCAATTAGACGAGATGGTGTGAATCTTGACAAAACTTTTTTGTTATTTCCAAGAAAAAAATAATTTTCATTTTTAATTTTATGATAAAATGTTTATGTGATTGCCTCTAGAGAGTAAGACAGACAATAGGATGAAATGCTTTAGTGATGACGGTTTAAATGAATTATGTTAACCATGTATGTAAATCGGCATGTTTGTATGATTGTAATAGATTGGATAGTCTAATGGACAAAACGCCACATTCTAATCATGTTAATTTTGACCATGTACTATCCATTTTATGTTATTATTATTATTATCATCATCAATCTTTGCTGTTTCGTTGTTGTTCAAATTTAAAATTTTTTTACTTAATTAGTGTGAAGTTATCTTCTCTCTCTCCCTTTACCTCTCTCTCCATCACTATATCCTTCATACACTTTCTTTGTTACCTTTCTTCTACCTTCCTCATCAACCACTTCTCACTTCACTTATTATTCAACTTTCTATTCTATCGAACGATATATATTTATCTTTATGTTCTGTTTAATTAAAACCGAATTGAAATTTTGTTGTGTTTTGTTTTTTTAAATGAGAAGACAATGTTTCAATTCATGAAAGACATGAAATAAAATTCTATTTATATCTGATAGTTAATAATCTGTGAATTTGAATGACTTTTTTTGTTTTTCGTTCAGAACAGTTTTTTTTTTCTATCATAGCCTCCTTCATATTTACAATTGATTTCAGGGATTGAATGAAGCTAGATAAATGTTTAAAAGTTGGCGGACCACTAAGTCGATTGGTTTCATCCTAGCTTATGAAATTGCTGAATGGAATATATGCAATCTCAACTATGCCAGTGATCAAATCCTTAGTTGAAGTACTTCTAAAAACTTTCATTACTGATAATCTTCATCAATTTCTTGCTGTTGATGTCTCCTCAGAAGTGAGCGTCCATCGCCCCCCAAGTGTGAATAGAACTGAGAACCTTCAATCTTGCACGCGAAGACTTAACTTCTATATCATTGAGCCAAGGGTCTGATGGTGTATTTCAATAAGTGCAGCAATGGTTGTTACATGATTATAATTAAATCCAACAATCTTCACAATCCTATACTGACTGTTATTAATTAGTTGGATGTAATCTTATAGAGATCTTTAGTATTGGGCTAAACAGCAGTGTACACTCATCACTTTACAATGGGAATTCAGTACAGTGAAGCTGTAACTGTTACAATAAATACGATGTAGCTACTGAATATAAATCAAGTAAATCGGATTGTGATGGCTTCAGTCAATTAACAATATAGAGTAAAAATGATCTTACAATATTATTGTTTTCTTGGTGTCCTACTCTATAATTGTCCCACTCCATAGATAATAATATTCCAGCAAAACTCTTGATGGAATTTGTTTCGAACCTAGTCAATAGATGATTGTACAAGAATTTATCCAATTCTTAAAAAATATATTTGACCATTTTAAAATGATATTACCTAACTGTCATAAATGTTGACTAGGAGAGATAACACTGAATGAAGATTTCATCATCATATTATAAACATAAATAAAGTTGAAGACGTAGAACAGTGAAATCTTTAACTGGAATACATCATGATTACTGAAAGATAGAGAGGATTAGTGTGTTCAAACCTCTACATGAAGATCTTGATTTTACTGAGCATCGTAATGAGACAAAATGGTGGTTGAATATAATCTGGCTGATTCGCCTCTTCAAACTATACAAACGATTCAGCAAAACCTACTTCAAGAATTGTATATTACAATTCACATAAGTAATAATTTGATTAATTGACTATCTCTTATTCTACTGAACAGTATAAATATATATGGAATAGCCTATTGATACATAAATAATAAGATAATTATTTGTTTTTGTTTTTTTTTACTTTAAATCGGTACATGTTATGTAACAACATTGGCCGACTGTTTCATTAAGAGAATTAAAATAAGTTAGGATATGTTCATAAAAATTATCAAAACATTTTCTCCCTAAGTATTATGACTAATCGATATTGTCATTAATGTATAGGCTTTGTAGACATTTTTGAATGTGATTGGCAACATCGTGCAGTGATCGTTTCGTCATGGTATGGAACTCTACAATGGTATATATTCACATCCCCATTTACGATAGAACTCGATCAGATCATGATGGAAATTATACAATTCATCAACCTCTATAAATCTCCCATACCAATACTATTACTATTCATAATAATCATGTGCTCACTAAGTGTTAATTCCGAGAATTTTAGTGAGAAACCGTGATTGGTGAATTTCATTTGTATCAGATGTGATGTAATTTCGCAAAGATAACATTCAGAAATGGTTTCACAATATTATAAAATGACTAACGGTGAGGATGCAAACTATCGGAGCCGACTCAATAATATAAATTTAAGGCGCTCGCTGTCAAATCTAGAATTTCTGAGTTTGATCTTCGGTGGGATTTTGGATGAACACTGCCTCTGCAGTTGTATACCAAATTGCAACAATTGTCTAGTGTTTTCTGGTAGTTTCACTGATTGTTTAGCTAACATCAGTCCGTTAAATAAATAATGTTGTTTCTTTGAAATCATTTCATTTTATGCTATATCAAACAATGTCTATGCAAAAATCTTTCTGGTTACACGACCATCTATTAAAGAATTTTAAAAGTTTTTGCATACGAATCAAGGAAAATGAGAAAAAACACTGTGTTAAAGAGAAGAAAAGTAAACTTTTAATTATTTTACTTTCAGGATTGATCGAAACTGAAAAATTGTTGAATATTAGGAAACAGTATTTGGATGTTTCATCATAGATTAAAAACTCAGAATAATCCTCATCCAGCCACTCTGTATTGGATCATTACCAAAAACACGAAGCCTTTAACTAGTCCTCATAACCCTTTATTGACTCATTTTTATTATCTTTCATTGGAAATAAAGTTTGAAATGTTTATCATTGATAGCATTATGCTTGTCATTAGGCTTGAAAGTCATGAGTTAAAAATTATTAGGATTCGCAAACTAGAATGAATATATCAACTGACAAGTATTTTTTTATTAATTATCCACCAGTACTAAGGTGGATATCGGTTCATGATGTAAACTATATTTTAACTGATTAAAGTTTTGTAGAGATTAGTATGACTTATAAAGATGTGACATCACTTGAAGTATATTCGAAAACTGAGAGGATACTTGTCCCTTTCATTCTTATTTGGGAGCGTACAATCACGGTCTCTCCAAAAAAATGAAGTTAGGATCGTAAAATCTTACTAGTGAACCCTTAACCATTTAAACCACTGAGTTGGAATTTAATGGCGTGAATCACCGAATACAATGTGTACCTATTTATTCTATTATTAAAACACATAAACACTGGTACGAGGAGCTACGAAATAGATATGCACCACATAAATCATTCGATTAGTTCCTGAAAGAACAAATGGCGTATGAACCAATCGCTGTGACTGCATCTTCTGACGTTGCTCTACTTCCTTTTGGGTCGGACCTTTATGTCAAAATCTCCAGACGTGACCTTCTGAGAAAACCACCTACCTCGGTTTGCGTACCCGGGCAGTATCCCAGCATTCACACAAATCAAAACCGAATACAATGAATATGTGGTTGATTGTTAAGATCATTTATTGTCACTGGTGATATCTGTTTCACTGACGATTTGATTAAGATTATTTGTCACAAAGAATATGAAGTTAATCTCTCAAGTTTTAGTTAAATGTTATGGATGATGATTGAAAAATGATTGAAAATTATTCTTCATTTAATAAACTTCACAAAATCTTTAATTGAATAAAATATCAGTCAGTAACTGTAAGCATAGAGAAAAAACGTGTTACACTTAATTTCAAAATAATGTTAATGCAATTCAAAAACCTCATAGAATTCGTAATTATGCCACGTCTAATAACACTACTATGGTAGTACTATTCCTAATAATAATAATAACAATTATTATTATTATGGTCTTATAGATAAAGTATTGAAAATCATGGCAAAAAAATTGTAACAAATCCCCTACAGTTATCCATGTTATATTATTTTAATCAAATCTTACACGCTACATTTGAATTAATATCATTCCTTCCTAAAGTATTTATATAAGTTATCTGAGCACATTTATCCCCTTATCCATTCATGAAATTTAAAGAAAACATCAATTTCCCATCTTACCAAACATGTGTGTTTTATTCTCTTTTTTGGTTTGCCTCATAACATATTTCAAATTATTTGTGTGTGTATGTGTGTGTAGGTGTGTAAGTGGGTATTAATTATGATAATAATATTAATTATTATAACTAAACTTACCCCAGGCAACGTCTGTTTACCATGTAAAGCATCTTGACATTTTAAAGCTGATTGTCTATGACAAAATGTAACGAAGGCACAACCTATAAATTGAAACATTGTACAGATAATTAATTGTATTATTATTATTATTATTTTAACTAAAAGCTATGGATTCAAAATACAAAAAAAAAAATAAACAACAACTAAATAGCTTTAGAAAATATCTACATTATTTTAATTGGCTTAAAATAAACATGTTTCAATGAACCTGTTGAGCTGTTATGATGATTATTCATCCGGAACAAAAAAAAAAGACAAAAACAAAAAAAACTGTTATATAATCATGAAATATTTATAAATAATTGCCAGGTATTAATAATACTCTATAAAACTTTGTTATTCTTTTTGGCATAGAAATAATCATGTGAGATTATTTTTTATTATAGAATTATTATATTGAATAGAATTTTTAAAAATATTTAAGTGTTATACTACTTATGTAGATTAAACTTAAGTAGTTAATTGATTTGAATTATTACAGAAATATTAATGATTCATATAGATTTATCGATTTCTTTAATAATTGAATTCATCAGTTGATGTAAACTAGACCACCATTGAAAACTTAGAAGTACCGAACGGCTTTTTCGCACTGTCGAACAGTCCCATACTAAGACGACTCATGAAATCAACTATTTAAAAAATCACTACAATCTCCACCACCCTCCTATTCTAATAATTTATCAATCTTACTAATCCTGTATAGTTGGCGCTATATTATGAATGAAACTAGACAGATTTATTATGATATTTATGACTATCAATCTTTACAATTCAGTAAAGAATAGAGAAGGGAAACAGGTAGTAGTTATTTTTCAGTACATTCAATTGATACTTCACACTTAACTGTTGCATAGATAGTTCTTCTAAACTTATCTATCAAATTTTATCCAACTTAACCGCGACTTTTAGATTTCTTGTTTTTAAATATGAAATTAGGTTATAGAAGTCTATGCAACTACATTTCTGATCTCCTTACGTCCGAAAATGTTAACATGATCATTTTTTGTTTATTCTGACCATATAAATAAGTACAAAATTACGTTTACAGTTTCATCATTTTATGTCATATTCAATCCCTATGTAAATAGTTTTGATTAGTTTCTCATTCCCTCGTATTCATCAATTATTTCTTCATAGATATCAATACGTCTAGTTGTATATCAACACTCCTAGGTGGTTTGAGATAGTCAGTGAGTGGAGAACTCTTCTTGATGTAAATTTCATGTTAGTTGACACTTTTCAGAAGAGCATATCCCTAAACTTGAGGGAACTTATCTTTCCTGTGTGATTAAATTCGGCTTCATACACTTTAACAGTCTGCAACATAACCACTTAGCTATTCTGAAATACTTAGATTGATTGATCACTGAGCAGTGAACAACGTCATGTTCGTCTGGTGATAGGTGCTGCTGGAATTCTATTGATCAAATTGCAACGTAGCCATAATTTTTAGTGGCTCGACATCGTGTGCATTATATAATGATGTTAGGTATTTGGATTAGATCGATGCGAAACTCTGAAAAGGGGAATGTGATCTACTAAACATCAATTCAGTAGCCTGAGATTGTCGTGTTTACTATGAGATCGAAATACTCGGAATTCAATCTGTTATAAGATTTTGAATGCCCACTAGTGAAAAGTCGTGAACCAAAAAGTTCATCAGTTTTTTAAGGTTTATTAAGACAGTTTCTAGACCTTATTGTTAAAATAATATTCCTAGATAACCTCATTAATCTGAGTGTGAATATTTTCTCATTATTATTATAGCGAAAAGAAATTTCATGGGAAATTGTCACGTACAACATTTTTATTGTTGAATTCATTCGAACGTTAGTGGGATAAAGTTATCAGATAGCGATACAATGTAGCTGTTCGTAGAAAACACCTACTTTAACATACCTACACTTCAGTAGCTCGTCTATTATTCAATAAACTACTAATCAAATAGTTTCTTGGCAACTATCCTGTAAACAAAATATATTAAATCAGGAATTAATTGATTTCGGTGGTATGCTCAATCTACATAGAAAGAAGTAGCGGTTCAACACGTTCAACATTATCGTTGTAACTTAATGATAATGAAAACTTTAAAAAAAGTTAAACAGTGTGAAGATTATATTAAAGTGTTTCCATAAGGGTTTTTAAATGATGAAAGATAAATATCACTCACTTTTACTTAACGCTAGAACCTACAAGTCATCCATTCGAGTCTGATAGGCAGGTCCACATGTAGATCTTTCATTATGTCAACATTAATTAGGAAATTAAATTCAAAAAGTGTCCTTAATTTCGGTAAAATTTCTCTTTGATAAACAATCTATCAATCGAATTGTACCATTATTTATTTAGTTTATAGTAAATAAACTTTAAACCAATATTTTTTGAATAAAGGAGTGACTCAAACTTTTACCCTTCCAAAATCTACGGTTCACAAGTAAATGTTCTTTGTGTAAGTTATATTAATCACAAATTAATCTCAGGGGTCAAAGTGGAACCTGAAGTTCCTAGATGTGATACCTCATAGGATCGTGTATGTTCACTTGCATTTGGAAGTCGTATAGTAGGACAAAATTGGTGTCCACTGACCCCTGGTTTTCAATGGCGCTCCTACTGAAAGCAGTCTACATTGAACACAATCTACAAATAAAACCGATCTCCACGGAAGCCCTTCAACCGAAATAGATTTTTTGGAAAATAAGCATAACTAAGTCGTTGCTATGTGTTCAAAGTTGTTTTAAGCAAAACTCTCGTTTAAGAAAGTTTCAAATAATGTTAGTTTATGTGTGTCCGAAATGATAAGATACAGGTTTGCATATGTATATCTATTAACATATGTGGATAATAATGTAGAAGTGTTTCACTCAAACATCTAATTAATTATATTGATGTCTGCATGAGGTATATGTGTGTATGTCTTTATCATTTTGTGTTGAACAAAACAAGTAAATTAATGGATTACCGAATCAGATTACATTCAGTCAGTATAACATAGTTTTGGTTAGTTTCTTTTAAAATAATTACTTTACTTATATGTGTAACAATAATTACTACTGGAAATAATGAATCTAGAGAATGTCTCTATTTCTCCGACTCTCAGTCAATTTTAATCTATTTCTTTCTCTCTACATCTTTGAGACATTAAATTCTTTGTATGACCTAAGATTTAGATATGAGAAAATACCTGATCGATGAAAACACATGTTACTAAGCAATCTAACAATTTCATTGTATTCTAATTGAAATACACTTCAACCGTCTCTCAGGGGTATCCAAAGCCTAAATGGTATCATTTTTTTCAAAATTTTGTTGAGAAAATCTTATTATTATTATTGAAAAGTTGTAATGGCTCATTTTAATCTGAAAATAGTTTAGATTGATAAAGTTACTATAACTGAGAGAGTAATTCTAAACTGAGTTCGAGGCCAGGACGCACTGAATAGTCATATTGCATTAGTCTTCAGAAATGCATATTATACCAGGGAACGAGAAAATGTTTACCAGTAGGATTGAATAATTTTCGTACTAAAACATAAATTAATTGAAGTTGGACCTGTTGTAATGTTGTCTTATAACTCAGTGGACTTAAAGTAGCGCACTTGCCTTGAAACCTGAGGGCAATTAAATGGTTGATACGTACGTCTGAGGAGCACTGTACTAGGACAAAACTGCTGTTCATTATAAACGTTTTAAAAATTTTTCTTATCCATTTGCTTAAAATTTATTTATTAATGTTACAAATGGGTTTTAGTAAGTTAAGGAAAATGTCTCCTTGTCAACCAACATCATCTAGAGATAATGAAAACTAGGAGACGTGCACATGTTATATATGAACTTATCAGTGGTGATAATTCACAATCGTTTATTCAGTAAGAATCAGGAACTTTAAATCTTGCAAAGTGAGTGGAATACATCTAGACCGCTTAGATAGAATTTGATATTCTTTCTCACACTTCATCTTTTGCATAGCTGGGTTGTTCAAACGTAGAAATTTGCATCAGTGACTAATTTGAGTAGAAATCGATCATTGAGAGTTTATTTCTCAATATATGTGAGAAACACCGTATGATTAGTTAATATCATCACCATTAGACTTTTTCGTTTTCATTCATCCTTCTACTACTATTATTGTTGTGTTCTTTTTAAAAGGACCATTCTTAATACACATCTTTTCAAATCGTTGTGTGTTCACCACCGGATGGAATGTGATGTCTATTATTTTAACATGTAAAATTTATTTCAATGAACTTTCTAACTATTTGATTCACTTTATTACTAATTCAGTAATTAATCACCTAACTAATTCATTCTGTTCGCTATCTTGTTTTAAAAAATTTTTCTATTAATTATGAGAATGGTGAGAATTTAATAACCGGGTTGTATTATTTATTTATTCTTTATTAGACGTACCCACTCTTATCCCCCACCATTGTAGAGATCTAAAATTCTATCCTACTTTCACAAATATGACGAAACCATAAATTTGTTTTTTAATTAATTGATTAATGATTGAGAATTTCAATTATTTTTCAACAACTTTTTGTTGTTGTTGTTGTTGTTAATATGAATAAGTTACCATTACTATTGTACACAATCGTTCTTATTTTCATTGTCATGTCAATCACTGGTTAGATACATATTGTAAAAAAAAAAGGAAGTAGCGCGAAATAACTTTAGTTAAAACAACGAATTTACAGATAAACACATAATTCATTAGAATTTTTGAATGAATAAATAAATAAGTAGTATCGTGTTTTCCTTCTTTAAAAAAATAAAATTTTTTGTTAGTTTATGTTATTTATGAGTATGAGTAAATTAAGTGAATAGAACAAAGAAAGTATTTGAAGGGAGTAAGGGAAGGGGGTGGGTGGGAATTGAAATTATTAACTATTCATCATTTTTTATATTGCATAGTAATATTCTATTTTCTTTAAATGAGTAAAGTTCACTTCTTAAGATGTTAAATTTTCAAAAAAAATTTTATTAAAGAAAGATTACTCAGATAGTTGTTACTAATTTTATTAAATGATCAATACAATAC